TTTTTAATTCTCTTATGCCTCGCTTGTATTTATATTACACTTATCTTGTATCTCAAAATAGCAAGAAACTATGCAGAACTGAACTATCATAATTTATTGCTGCAGACTGAGTGGGCTCACAAAAACAGGAATCAGGTGCCATATGAAGTCTAGGCTAGAGGTTACCAACATGGGTTAGAAATATCTGATTATTTAGTGAAGTATTCCCAGACTAGGAATGGAGAAGCAAGGACAATTAGTTGTTTAAGGGGAGCTAGACTGCTAGGAAGAAAAAGGTAACTAGCTCCAGCTTGCCTTTCCTGCAAACCCCTCTGGATGCTTTGCTTGTCCCTGGAAGCACTTCTCAAAAGTCCAGTCCATGCAAATTAGGTAACTAATTCTGACTTGACTGATGTCACGTGCAGCTTTAGTTCAGCCGTTTATTTCTATACTGTACATAATATTGTAATTAGCTTAAACAGTTTTTCTCTTCCCATGAAGATTTGGCAAGCAGAAACGTTCACATATCAATCTGCATTTGAATCATTTTTTCTACTCTCAATGCACTTTAAGGGCTGGGTGGAAATGCTAACAAAGTGTGGGGGGGACCCACTTTGTTAGTTAATAGAGCTATGCAAATAAAAGATGTTACAGGTGTTTTTTTTTTTTCTGAAGAAAAACTCAGTTGCTTTAAGGAATTACATACCAATCCTACCTTTTGAAACACCTTTTTGGAATTAAATCTAAAGCATAACACAGGACTAGCAATTCCTAACCATGCCTAATGATACAGTATGTGTAGCACAGAAGTAATGAGTTAACTTTAAGAACTCTTCTTGGAGAGAGATGATTTTGAGAAAGCCAAGGAATTGACAATTTTAAATGGTTGTTTTTCCAATCTAATTCAATGCCTGACAGCTATGTTGCAGCTTGCCAAAGTTAGAAAGCCAGTGAGCAAACATACAAATAACCACAACATACTAAAAATAATACAACACAAGCAGTGATCCTGCCGCATAGAATAGGCTTTCCTCATTTGCTTTCACAAGGTTATTGAACTATCTACTACATTGTTTTATAGTTAAATTGCATGTTCTAACTATTCAAATGAGTCCCTTAATATTGGCTTATAAAAATCAAGCTAGATTCCAAAAGCTTCTTACTTACATCAATTTAGTATTAGCAAGCACCATTGATATTATGGGTTAAACAAGTTCTGCAAAAATGCATTTTGCTTCTTTTTTTAAATTTGTAATATTGTCCCCTTTTGCCTTTTGTAGCAATGGTTCTCAAAGTATGGAATATGAAGAAAGCTTAATGTGTATGCATGCAAAATTTCATGATACAGTAACCCCTTGAAGTAGATAGCCTCTGATCTTATAGAACAGCGGTTCTCAACCTGGGGGTCGCGAACCCTTTGGGGGTCGAACGGCCATTTCACAGGGGTCGCCAAAGCCCTCTCTCGCCCCCCCCCCACACCTTCACTCACCCTCACTCTCTGCCTCTGTTGGATCGCCGGCCATTCGCTTACCCCGCCCACTCCCAATCTATTGCTGCCTCCTGAGTCCCAGCTGATGGCTAGAGGGAAAAAAACTGTTTAAATTCTTGCCACGGGGCTTCAAAGGGCCGCCCTACAGCTGATCAGTATTAAAAGAAAACAAATGAGTAGACTGGTGCCTGCAAAAATAGAAAAAACAGCCCCTTTCAGCTTCAGGATAGGTTAATTAGCACAAGTTGATTAGATCAGCCTCAACTCTCAGCTGATTTGCTCTCAGCTGTTTTGCGGAGGGCTCTGTTGCTAGCTGCAAAAAACTCTGCAGCAGATTTTTTTCCCCCAGCTATGCTGAAAAAACGAAACTGAAAGTAAAGCAGGGTCTTTGCTGCAACATGATGAAATGAGGCAGAGAGATCTTTCTTTTTCTTTTTCCTCACCAAAAAAGGTAGGTGCAAAACTGCAAATAATGGGAAATTTAGGGCAAAAAAGGAGGTTCAAGATTTTAAAACACAAAAGAAAAAAAGCTCTATTTAACTAGAGAATTGTAATAATTGAGATACTATTAATTGTATATTGTGTTGAAAGCAGAAATGGTTAAGTTCTGGTTTGGAGGAATATATGGGGGAAATTATTTGGTTTATTATTATTGGTAAATATAATTAATTGATTTGTAAGAAATTGGATTGCATGGAAATAATTGGAATATTCATGTTCATATTTATTAATATACAAAAAAGATAGTTATATAACTAATTGATTTATATTAAAATGTTGAATTTGTATTCAACAACTATTACATAATTACATAATTAACCAATGTGAGGATGGATATAAAAATAGATGACAATACAAAGGGGTATAATATAGAATAGAAGGGAAAAATTGAATTTGATTAAGATTAGAGATGAGGATGAAGGGTAATATTGGTTTTTTACAAAAATAGATGAGGAATAAATATGGCAAAAAGGAAATATAGAAATTGTAAATTTAATTGAAATGACTAAACACTGTTTAAATTTGTGAACAGGCCAAATACTCTGTTCAAAGAAAATACGTTGTATGTTTGTATGTGTGTTACTAATTATTGCTATTTATTCATATTTGTTCTCTTTTATTCTTTAAAGTTTAACAATTCATTCTTTATCTTAATATCTTCATATTTGTTTGGGGTTGGTTTTCTTCCCTTTCATCTTTTTTATTGTACAGCAATCTTTCTCCTCAAACCTACCACCTCTGTCTTTTCTTTCCTTCTTCCTTTCTCTTCCCTCCCTTCTCCTCCCTACTTCCTCTTCCTTTCTCCTTCTCCTCATCTCTTCCTCCCTCTCTTACCCTCACTCCTACTCTAATTTCCCTTCCCTTCCTTCATCCTCTCTATTGCTGTATCCTTTTATGCATATGGACTACTCAGAGGGCTGAAAAAGTTATTTTTGACTGGTCCTTGCACTTTTGACCAGTCCTCAAACTTACGACTGTCCTCACATTTTACGTTTTTGCCCTATCTTGTCACCATGGTGAAAAGAAGCAGTTGTGAAATGAGTGACACGGTTGTTAAGAATGCTACAATGGGCATAAATGATGATCAGTCATAAGTGTGAAGACCGGTCAAAAGTGCGAGGACCTATCAGAAATCACTTTTTTCAGCCCTCTGGGTAGTCCTTTTGTGCACATGGACTACTCAGAGGGCTGAAAAAGTTATTTTTGACTGGTCCTCGCACTTTTGACCAGTTCTCGAATTTACGACTGTCCTCACATTTTACGTTCTTTGCCCTATCTTATCACCATGGTGAAAAGAAGCAGTTGTGAAATGAGTGATATGGTTGTTAAGAATGCTGCACAGGCATAAATGTGAGGATGGTCATAAGTGTGAGGACCAGTCAAAAATGCGAGGACCTGTCAGAAATGACTTTTTTCAGCCCTCTGAGTAGTCCCTATACACATAGCCATGGCCACCCGGTCACATGACCAGCTAGCCACGTCCACCCAGTCACATGACCTCCAAGCCACACCCACAAAATAAGCCATGCCCACAGAACCGGTAGTAAAAAAATTTAGAACCCACCCCTGGTTGGGGGTCACCACAACATGAGGAACTGTATTAAAGGGTCGCGGCATTAGGAAGATTGAGAACCACTGTTATAGAAGAATATCTTGTGTCATTCAAATAAGACAGTATCTCTCAGATTTGGCAAGTTTAAGATGTGTGGACTTCAACTCTTAAAATTCCCCATGCTGACTAGGGACTTCTAGGAGTTGAAGTCTACAGGTTTTAAACTTGCCAAATTTGAGAAGCATTATGTTAGTGTTAGACAAACTCCTATTATCTTTCAGTCAGTGCAGTTATCCTTAGACAGAACAGCCTCCTATATGAGTGCAATTTGTATAATAATCTTTTCTTTTTCCTATTTTGTTGCTGTGGTAAGGGAAGAACTCACGTGGATTTGGAAGGAGCCCCTATTTTAAATGTTTGGAAATGTTTCTTTGCAGACATGGGGGGGAAATCAATTGTCAGTCAAAAATGTAAATCAGATTTGAAGATGACTAACTTCTGTTGAACAAATGCTATTTCTTTTCAACATAGGTATTAATTACCAGGCAGATAACTGAATAATCTTTTGTTGGCTTTGGGTCACCTAACTTAATTTGGTTACATTGATTCTTCCTGTTACTAAAGTCCATCAATATCAAATTAAAATACTTTCAAGATAATCTTAGAATGGTTAAAAAAGAGTATCAGACATTCTAGGAGAAAAATTCCATTCTATTCTGGATTTTGGGACTACAGTTAATCAATATCCCCAGTCAGGATGGCTGGAAAAGTAAAAGCTATAATCTACAATATTGACAAGGCAGGCGTTGGAAAAGGTTGGCCAATGGTGTTATTATTCTATCCATTCTTCCCATGAATTGCTGCTGAATTTGAATGAAGTGTATTAAACCTTGCAAAACAAATACAATGGGAATGCAAGCAATATTCAGGAGAGGATTAATAATCTCTCTACAATACTCCACATGAGATAGGTCATCTTTCATCTTTAGTTGAATATCCAACAAGATGCTCTCCTCCCACAAACTCAGTCAATGAAAAATTTCTGTTCAGGGTCCACTGAAGTTTTCATACTAGCCAAGAATCTAAATTCCAACACCTTTTGAAAGTGCCAGATTGGCAAAGGCTGCTGAATAAAGAGAGGCAGCATGATATAATGATCATGGCTTCCAGTTTTTTGGGTGGTCCTTCTACAGAAGATCTTCCTATTGAATTGGTATCCATGGGCTTTATTTGATTGCTTCCACTGTTCCACCTTTAATGAATGTTCCAAATATGCCACTTGAGTTAGCAGCTACCACACACTTCCCCTTACTATAGGCCCTTATAGATATAAAGGCCTGGCATATGCCAATGAAGAATACAGAATATTATACTATATTCTGTACTGTTTTACATCACTATTCCATGAAAGCTTGACATAAAAAATATTAGATGGTTTTTACGGTTTGTGCAAAATTTTGTTTCATCTGTATGGCTTACCGGTAGATCCTGTATCTAGTGGTGAAACCCTGCCGATAGCGCTCTATAAAGTCAACATAGTCTGGTGCTCGGTGGAATGGTCCTCGATCAGTAAGCAACCAGTCCAATGGTACTTGGCTGGAGAAAGCAGTTGAGGCATGCTGTTCATGTGGTGTTGCAACAGCTGTAGCCGGGCCCCAGAATCCCAGAATCAGGACCAAGACTGATGACAACCATGGGACCATCAGCCGGAGACCATTAAATCGAGTGCCGCGCTGCCACCTCATGCTTCTCCTGCTCAGTTGGCTTCTTCATTCTCTCACCACTCTTTCCTTCTGGGTACTCCTTCAGGATTTCCTGCATTAGGAAGGAACAAGGATAAGGGAATAAATTATACATGAAGCACTGAGAAATACAGTGGATAGGCCTGCATATCTGTGGTTCATCAAACCAAATACTTGAAGTGTAGATATGTTTCTGAACATGGTTTCCAACTGAAACATTCCAAGACACTGACATTTGAGGTTCATGGTAACAAATGTGTAGCAAAGCAAGTAATTAACAGGTTTGCAACTTTAAGCTTATAACAAGATTAGTCCATTTAGTATGGCATGCTGTTCTCTAATTAGTGACTTCTTCTCAACCTGTTATAAATGTATTGCTGTTGAAGTTGCTTTTTCCTGATCAGTCTGGGGTTAAAGCATAGAAGGCAAGACAATCGGCAGTGATCTGGAATGTGTCAATACATTATTACAACTGAGTAACTGAAAGAAAGCCGCAGTGAATATATAGGATTGTGTTGCAACTTTCTTCTGCAACATATAGTACAGGTAGTCCTTGATTTACAACCACAATTGACCCCAAAATTTCTGTTGTTAAATGAGACTTTTGTTAAGTGAGTCTTGCCCCATTTTCTTGCCACAGTTGTTAAGTGAATCACTACAGTTGATAGGTTAGCAATCAGGTTGTTAAGTGAATCTGACTTCCCCATTGACTTTGCTTGTTAGAAAGTCACAAAAGGAGATCATATGATCTTGGGACACAGCGCCAGTCATAAGTATGAACCAGTAGCCAAGCATCTGAATTTTGATCAAATGATCATGGGGATGCTTCAAAAGTCGTAACTGTGGGAAATGGTCATAAATCCTTTTTCAGTACCGTTGTAACTTTGAATGGTCACTAAATGAACTATTGCAAATCGAGGACTACCTGTATATTTCAGTTGAACATACAAAAACTTGGAATCAGATTTGTGAGCATACCAGCAGAGGTCAATATGTAGGTAATCGCCCATTTCCCACTTCCTATATGTGTTTAAACATATATGGGAAATAGAGAGTGAATATGAATATGCCATCACTTCTGAATATCAGTTGACAAAGTCACATATTAACAGTAACTGCTTGAATAGTTGAAATTACAGTTACATTTATAGTTGACCTAAAAAGTATGTCATTATCAAAAGCATATTATAGATATTGGGATTAAGAAGAAATACACAAGAAGTCCTTAACTAACATCAGTTCATTTAATGACCATTTGAAGTTACAATGGAACTAAAAAAAGTTACTTATGATCATTTTTCACACTTACAACTGCTGCGACATCCCCATGGTCATGTGATCAAAATTCAGATGCTTGGCAAGGAACTCATATTTATGACGGTTACAGTGTCATGGGGTAAGGTGACCACCTTTTACAACCTTCTGACAAGCAAATGCAATGGAGAAGCCAGATTCACTTAACAACTGTGTTAACAATTTAACAGCTGCAGTAATTCACTTAACAAATGTGACAAGAAAGGTCATAAAATGGGGCAAAACTAATTTAACAACTGTCTAACTTAGCAACAGAAGTTTTGGGCTCAATTGCAGTCGTAAATCAAAGACTGCCTGTAGAAAGCACCTGGAATGCTCATTATTCAGATTTATCACTCAACAATTTTATCTTATTCATATTGCATATCTCACCTAAATTTATGTAACAATTAATTCCCCATCATAGATTATGTCATCTTATATGGATCATCTTCTGCATTCCTATCTGTCATTGAAATATATCCCATTTATTCAGAAAGGATATTATCTACCCTGACCCTTGTCCCTCTCCAAAAATTTTAAAATAAAATATTGTCAACTCAATTTTCAGCATTATACATCCTATTTCATTTGTAAATATCTGTTGCTGAGTAAATGAAATGCTGAATGACAAGAGTGGGAATAATTTGTCAAAATGGACAGTGCTTTTTGCCAAACTACCTAAACAACCAAAATAAATTAAATCCAAGACAGGCAGTACAAACACAGTATAAACAAGTTCCTAAAAATTGTACCACATACTTCCAAATTCAGAACTAAAATAAGCAGGTAAATTACTTAAAATATTTAAATAATGGCAGTTTTGTTTCCTAAGTAAACATTGTCTCAGGGCAATACTGTATTTGAAATGCTAGTTCCTGAGAGCTTCATTTCCAAATCTAGGAAGGATTCATGTTTGTTCTCAAAGCACAAGTTTCTATTTTTATCTTCCAGCCCACTCCTCTCTGAAGCTATCCAATAAATGCCATAAAACATTCATGTGTTTATTTCTGCCCTGGCAAAGAATTATAAGGTTGCCTCCCCTTTCTCTCATTCCAGAACATGTTTCCCCAATCTGATGCCTTTTAAATAATTCCACAACTCATGCCAGGTTTAGAATTCTGAAAATTGCAAGTTAGAGAAGGCTGCAGGAACATAATATTGCTTTCACTCATGACCTGCTGGGGCTTGGGATGAACTAAGAAGCTTCAGCTGAGGGGAAGGGTGGAGAGGCTTGCTGACCTGCTTCCTGGAAACACAATAGTGAGGAACTTTGTCACAGAGATGTTGAGACGAAGGGCGTCAGAGACCTATTAATCCATACAACACTTTTCCTGATTAGCTGAAATGTGTCTGTGAGAGAGTTTTGGCAAGAAGGTCTGTTCTGGATTCAGAAGTGAGGTCCCTGGAGTTGAAGAAGGTATCTAACAACTAGAGAGGGTCAGAAGGCTATGCCTACACTTTGACTGCTATTGTTGTTTAGTAGGCAGAAGCTCTACCATAGTGTACTATGGTACCTACAATGTGGAATAAAGTCCTGAAAGCATCTTCTTTTGTCACTGACGGCTTTCTTCAGTGGGCATACAGAGATCAGTAGATTTGAATTCCCATATTTTCTATGATGGGGTTTGAACGTGCATCCCATGTTTCTCAGTCTTGAGTTCTGATTGGCTGCTGTTCCTGGATTCCCCTTTTCCTAGACTGGCTCCATGGTTTCCTCTCATGCAGTGGGGTAGCTGTAAATGCAAATGAACTGCAAGATGAGGAATGAAAGTCTAGGAGCACACTGAAAAAAAAATGAGACTAAAGACAATCCAGACTAAAAAGAACAGGTACAGTAACCAGTTTTAGAACTGACAATGAAGATACTAAATTCTGGTAGAGAGCTTCTGCCTTTTAAGATCAACCATCAAGAGTAAAGAAACTAGCAGTGAAGAAATACAATGCAGATTAGCACTTAGTACAATAGCCATGGTGATCTTGGAAAAGATATTCAGATGCATGAATACATCTATATCGCCAAAGATCAGAATTGTGTAGGCAGTAATTTTCCCTATGGCACTGTGATATCATTCTCTAAGAAGTTACTCACTGCTACTTGAAAGACCCATCTTTTTCGTTAAAATCAATAATCAGAGTTGGTAGAAATGTACAATATATTATGTTCTATAAGTTTAAAAAAAAGGAGTGTAGCATGCTGATTTAATAATACTCTTCCAAAGGAAGTATGATGTTACCAAACTTATTCATACTGTAATTAGAATTAGATCCACTTATATATAACATGGTGTATTTCTGCCTTTGCTCTGCAGAATATAGCCACTTAAAGAATATGCGAACAATGTGCTCTCCATCCACATCTGTACCTATCTGAGTCAAATTAAAGCAGTGATTCTTATAAAGGCAGTCTCCAGGTTAAGAATGTCCAGCTTAAGAACAACCGCTAGATACAAATGGACTGCCAATTACGAAAAATGATGGCTGGTGCCCCTTGCCAAGCTGACAAACTGCTGAAGCTGTGCTCACTATTCGGGAACAGTTGGAGCTATGCTGTCTATTTTCAATGGTTTTTAGTAGTTTCTGAAAGCACAACCTGGCCTCAGTGGCTTGCTGGCCCATGGTAGGTGAACACCATCTGCCACCTCTAGCAATAGGCCATAAGTACAGGTTCCAATTTATATACAGGATTGGTTTGAAGACAGAGTTAGGAACATAACTGATCCTTAATCCAGGGATTACCCTATATTTAAAGCCTGAATTGCTATGGGTTCAATTTGCTTGAACACAGGAGTGTAATCTAACTGGTTCATGATAACTTGATAATAACAGTTCATATAGTATAGCTAAAGTCAAAATATCATCTTCTCCCAGTTTTGGCCAGGCAGAAGAGTTTTAAAAAGCTGGAATAGATCAGACATGGATTGGATGTCACATGGTTAGGCCAAGCCACATTCTTGACAGGATTTGCTCTGGACTTTCCAGATATTCAGGGGCAGCAGAAATATGGAGCCCTGGTGGTGCAATACCTTGTTTCCCTGAAAATAAGCCCTATACCAAAAATAAGCCCTAGCTTGATTTTTACATGTGCACCTAATGTAAGCTCTATCCCCAAAATACGTTCTAATTAAGACCCCGCCACTTCATCCCACCATCAGGTTGTTCAAGGTGGGGCAAGGCGCACACGTAAAAATCAAGCTAGGGTGGGGGTGGAGCTGCCCCATGTGCCCCATACCCGCTTACCTTAGGACCACCACAGCTGGGCCTCCCATGCCCTGACACCTGTTATACCACTGCCCAACTTCTTCTGCAGCCACTTGTGGCAGCTTGTGGCTTGATGCCACATGGTGCATCACTTGCAACAGGACACCATATGGCATATTGCTCCAGTGCCGCCACTTGCCATAGGACACCACATGCCTCATTGTGCCAATGCCACCACTTGTGGCAGGCCACAGGGCACATTGTGCCAGTGCCACCGCTCACCTGTGCAACGGTGCCATGTGCCATGCAGCCTCCTCCTGCTAGCGGCGGCATTGGCACCATGTGTCATTCAGCCTCCTGACATGAGCGGTTACACAGGTGCAATACACCATGTGGCATCTGGCCACAAGCAGCTGCAGAAGTCAAGCAGCAGAGTGACAGGTGTCAGGGTGTGGGAGGCCTGGCTGCTATGGTCCTAAGATAAGCGGGTAAGACATCTCCTGAAAATAAGATCTAGTGCTTATTTTGGGGCCCAAAGAAAAAAAGACTAGGTCTTATTTTTTGGGAAAACACAGTAGT